TGAGCCCGTTAGATTACCAGACATTGCTCCGTCAATGAATTTTGGTCTGGGCTCCAATCTTGTCCACTAAGATCGTTCGAGGGAGATCGCTGTCCAAGCTCTCTGGATGATACACGAAGTACAGGAAAGCCAGGTAAAAAGCAAATGTCTGTGATGACTTGCGGACAATGCCTATAGTCTGACTGGAAGTGTAGTTGGTTACATCTTCCGTCTTCTAGGTCAGAATCGTTTAGTACTTTCGTAATAAAAAATCTGCTCAGAATACTGTCATATTCGGCAGTATAGGGTTATCATATGAAGGTTTGGCACATTTAGGTAATATGTCAACATGGGCAGAATCAAGCACTTTGTGAGAAGGACAAGGATCATGGGTGTCCAGATTGCTATTCGTTGTTCCATTTCTTAAAACTCTTCCAATTTCTTCATGAGAAATAGTGTCAATGGCATTTTGTTCCAGAGGTGCTCCTAGCACGACATATTTGTGGGGGCAATTGACTGATGCTCCTGGTAGTTTTTGGAAATAATTCTCAAATGGGGCCCCATTTCTCACATGTTGACTGACTGAGATGATTTACATTTGGATGGAATCAGGATGAGGACCCATTTCTGTTCCCGCTGTCATTACCTGTTGTAAGGTTCATGTTAGGAGGGAATTCTTTGTACCTGCTAGTGTGCCATCATCTAGGAACCAGATGGTTAGCTCAGCTGGTCAGTCTGACTGTGGATATTCCCTAACTGCAATACAGAGAGAATGGATTGCAAGAGGATCTCTTGTTGGAACCTCTGTGATGTGATTTCATCGCTCTCAAAGAGAAGCATTGATTCCTTGCTATACCCCGCTGAAACAAAAGGAGGGACAGGGAAAGTTCTTGTACTGCTGATTATTCACGTTCTTTTCAGGAGATTTGAAGCATTCTTGAAATCCCTAATTTTACAACTGATTGTCCTCAGCAGGTTGTTGATATATGCCCTTGTTGCATCGAACCCTGCTTCACTTCCTTGAGAGACCCCAAAAGCCAATGGTTTGGGTTTGATGCATCATGGCTGTGTGGCAACGAATACTTGGACAAGCAGCTTTGGATTCGTGGCCGGAGTAAAAGTGTTGCTACTGCAATTGGGCCGAATTCCTCCATCCTTATTTGTAAGCTGCATAACGTGTTGCACAAAATATAGGAGGTCTCAATTTCATCCAGGGAATCAGACTGCCAAGGAATTGTTGACGAACCTTGTATCTCTGTAAGCAGTGTCTCTGCAATTTCCCATTAACGGATTAACCATTTCCTTTAAATGTCCCTGTGGCCTTATTCCGTGTAACCCAGCAAGAGATGGGGAACGACCTTATTGCTTTGTAATGTTGAGTCTTCACCAATTCAATGGTTCCATAGTGGGGAAGAGGTGTTGGGAACTGTTGGTGCCACTGTTTCCCTGGCAGGGTGCTTTCCTTATGTGCTTCAGCCGCTCTGTTTGTCAGCATTCCCTGGGAGCAAATGTATCTTCTGGTAATAATTTGATTGCCCCCATGTGATGCCTCTTCAATTTTCTTGCTCATGCGACTTGATTTTTCTCTGTCAGTAGAGTGAGTGGGGGTCATGCCTTCTTTTTTGTGTTGACGGGAAGGTGATGAGGTTAATCAAAACTTAGGAAAATCATCCTTAAGGATTTAATTTTCATTGAGGCTAGCCTCTTTCCCTTCTTTTGGCACACTATGCAGACATTGCCAAAAAGTAGCCGTAGTGCATGCCTTGATGGTTGGTGGAGCATCTTAAGATAGGATGGAACCAGTGTACTTTTTTCAGGAAGTCTGTAAGTTTCCAGTCTGAGTAGTGAGGGCTGCTTTGGGAATATGTGAGAGTGTCCTAGGGGTTACTGTTGCTTTGATTGTTCAATGAGATTGTTGATGAGTAAAATCTGTTGGAGTGGGTTCAGTGCCGGAGGTCGGCTCTGGAATCATCACTTTCCTGGAGGAATCCTGAACCAGCGGCTACTACGTGTTTTCGTTTGCGAGGAACCCTTAGAGTTGAGACAACGTAGAAAACTGTAAGCATGAACGACCACTTGCTCTCCTCGTATTGCCAGCGTGCCATATCCCTGGCCTGGTGCTTCCTTTCTGGTTGGCATCCATTGCTCGGATAGACAATAGGGCCAGTGAGTGGAATAATGACATGCTGGTGGGTATGGTGCGTGAAGGTAAAGAACTTGACCGTGGTGGCTGGTGCGACGTTTGAGGGGTGGGAGGGGAAGGGGGAAAACTTCTTGGGAATTTGGTGGGGGAGGCGCAGGTTGAGTGGGGGTTACCATGGGGAAGTACAATAACATGGACTCTTGCAACTATAATTGTTCACACTGTCTTACAATAAACATAACTTTATTTGTTTTCCTTGTTCACTATGAACATGTGGGCTATTGGCACTGCTTGAACCAATGTGTGTGTGTGTGTGTGTGTGTGTTGTGTGTGTGTGTAGTGTGTGTGTCGGTGTGTGTGGTGTTGTGTGTGGACCTCTGTGTGTAGTGTGTGTGTGTGTCGTGTGTGTGTGTGTGTTGTGTGTGTGTTTGTGGGTTTGTGTGTGTGTGTGTGTGTGTGTGTTGGTGTGTGTGTGGTATTTGTGTGTTGTGTGTGTGTGTAGTGTGTGTGTGTGTGTGTGTGTGTGTGTGTGTGTGTGTGTATATATATATATATATATATTTATATATTATTTATTATATATATATATATATGGAGTGAAGATTAACAGTTAGAGCCTAGAGAAATATGGATTGTCAGTTTAGTTAAAAAAGGGAGGAGAGATATTTAAAAGGAGAGCTTAGAGTATTGGGAAGATGGGGGAATATTTTGTGGAATTGTAAATGTTGATGAAGATAGGGAAGCTGTGATTTCGTGTATAGGGCAAGGAGGAATAAACATACTTGTAGGAGTGAGGAAGAGCATGTTGGAGTGGGGGGAATTCGTTGAGGCAGTAGGTCAACTGAAAGGGGGTAGGCAGCCGGGATGGATTGATGGGGAAAAGAATAGGGAATGTTTAAAAAAGCAGGTTGGGATATAGTTTTGGAGTGGTTGGTGCAATTATTTATAAATGTATGGAAAGAGGGAACGGTACCTTAGGGATTGGAAAGAGAGCATGCATCGTTATTTGTATAAAAGGCAAAGGGGATTAAAAGAGGAGTGCAAAAATTAAGGGGGATAAGTCTGTTGAGTGTATCCGGTAATGTGTATGGTAGAGTTATAATTGAAAGAATTAAGAGTAAGACGGAGAATGGATAGCAGATGAACAAGGAGGCTTTAAGGAAGGTAAGGGGGTGTCATGTGGACCAGTGGTTTACAGTAAATATAGGGAACAGTATTTAGATATGGCTAAGAAGGTCTTTGTGGGCATTTATGGATTTGGAAAAGGTGTAATGACAGGAGTGGTTTGCGGCGGGGCAATGTGCAGATGGTTGACAGTTGTTGGTTTTTTTTTTTGGTGTAGGAGGAGGTTTCTGAAAGCAGTGAAGAGTTTTTTCGAGGATAGTGAGGCTAACGTTAGAGTATGTAGGAATAGAGTGAAATTTATTCCAGTTAGTAGGCTTAGACAAGGAGGTGTGATGTCCCGCGGTTATGTTTAATTATATTTATAGATGGGGTTGTAAGGAAAGTCATGCGGTAGGTTTGGCAAGAGTATGGCTTGGAGTAAAAAGATAAAGATACACACAAAGTGGGATTGTCACTGCTGCTCTTTGCTGTTGACACTGTGCTTGGGAGATTCTGAAGAGAAGTTGACAGAGATTGGTGGATGAATTTGGAAGGGTGTGAAAGAAGGAAAATTAAGGTGAATACAGGAAAAGAGTAAGGTTATGAGGATAACCCCAAAAGAAAAAAGATTAGGTCGATGAAGATTGAATATCAGATTGGAGGGAAGAGAGTATGGAGGAGGTGAAACGTATGCAGATATTTGAGAGAGTGGACGTGTCAGCTCGGTTGGGTCTATGAAATATTGAGGTGAATCATAGGATTGATGATGAAAAAGAGTGAGTGGTGCACTTAGGAGTTGTGGGAGACTAACGCAAATTTGTCCTTGGAGGCAAAGAGGGGAATGTATTGAGAGTTTAGTTTTACCACGCTCTTATATGGGTGTGAAGCGTGGGTGATGAATGTTGCAGCAAGGAGAAGGCTGCGAGGCAGTGGAGATGTCTGTCTAGGGCAAAGTGTGAGTACGTGAATATAATGCAAGCGAATTGTAGTTGGAGTTAGGAGGAGGTGCGGTGATGAGCAAAACTGTTGTCCAGAGGGTGGAGGAAGGGTTGTTGAGGGGAGCGTTCGGACATGATAGAGAGAACTGGAGCGAAATCAGATGAATTCAAGAGTGTATCAGTCTGTAGTGGAAGGAAGGGGTGGTAGGGGTCCGGCTTAGGATGGGTTGGAAGGGAGGGGGTAAGGAGGTTTTTGTGTGGCGAGGGGGTTGAGATTCAGCAGGCATGACGGGAGCGTATTTGATAGGATTGAATGGAGACAAATGGTTTTTACATACTTGACGTGCTGTTGGAGTGTGAGCAAAGTAACATTATATGAAAGGGATTCAGGAAACGGCAGGGGGACTTGAAGTCTGGAGATGGAAGTACAGTGCCTGCACTTTGAAGGGGGGTGTAATGTTGCAGTTTAAAAACTGTAGTGTAAACGACCTTCTGGCAAGACAGTGATGGAGTGAATGATGGTTGATAGTATTCTTTTTCGGGCCACCCTGCCTTGGTGGGAATCGGCAGTTGTGATATAATAAATAACATATATATATTATATAGCTAAATTTCTCCATGGGGAAACGTGGAACAGAATTCTCTCTCCGTTCCAGCATTGCGTGATGAAAGAGGCGGACTAAAATGGGTGAAGAATGGGGCTAGTAACCCCTTCTCCTATATAAATTACTAAATTTAAAAAGAGAAACTTTTGTTTTTCTTTTTGGGCCACCCTGCCTTGGTGGGATACGGCCGGTTTGTTAAAAAAAAAAAATAGCTAAATTTATATTACTCACCTGGAAGAGACAAAGTCTTTGACTCCAGCAGTGGTAGCAGAATAGAAATAACATCCATTGGAGCGTAATCCAGATCTTCTAAGAGAAGCCAATAGCCCTTAGTAACAGCCTGAAGAAAAATGTCTGTTTTACAAGGTTGATAGGAAGTAAAAAGTAGTAGCTTTAATGTTGCTGTAACAATCAAGAAACTTACAAATATAAGGCAACAGGTAAAAATGGAGCGTCTTCTGCATCTCATGTAAAATTAATCCCCAAAATACTGAGATTTTCAGGCAATAAAATAGCAAACTTCATTCAGCAGACTCATTGAGGTAAACACGTTGTTTCTGAAAATCGGGTAAATAATATGAAATGGTGTTTAAGCAATATGAAGAATTACTTGTAAATTAAGGTTCATTATGTATGTCTCAGAAAACACCCAAACATTTTTTTTACAAATCTAATGACAAAAAAATATTAAAATTTTATAGTTGCATTCCAGGTTGGTCAAATTTATTGTATAGTAATGTATAGCAAGAGTGATGGGCCTACTGTATATGTCTGGTGTGTTCTTGACCACCAATTCTTATAGTGGTCTTGCCACCAAGTCTGAGGGTATGGCTGTGATTTTTGTTTGATGTGGAGGCCGCCGTTATCAGTAGTTGGTTGTGTTTGGATTGGTCACGTATTTAAAAGGCACATTTATCTGTTTTTACTGCAGCAATTTTTTACAGCTGTCAATGAGGGCCTCATCTGTTGCTCCATTTCCTTTTCAAGAGGCTATGCTCTAGATGTGTAGGGGCTTTCAGTTGAAAAATGTCTAACTTATACATTCAGGGCACAGAATCTGAGGCTCCCTTGCTTTCTATTAAAGGCTCGCATAGAGCAGCCACCTTCACGTGGTGAGTTTTGGGTATTTGAGTGACTGTTATTACAATATAAGTCATACCACACTTAGATGAGAGTTGCTCACATTAGTGTGAGTCTATATCACTATAAGTTAACGGAGCAGAGTGTGGGTATATGACAAAAATAAAGTTTCTTTTGGGGCCTCTTCTATATCAGTCTCCCCACCTAAATGGGAAACTGAGTTCTCCACCATAGGAGCTAAAATTAGTGGATAAATATTCAATTTTTGCTGATTACTCATCAAAAGGGCCATCCTACCTCCTATACCCCATTTCTGTTTTTGTATATTTTATAGACTGAATTCACTTATGAGACATGTACAACATAACAATCATTCCTGATTATATTTTATTACAATAAACAGTGAAACTTATTTTGTAGTGATTAAAGAATTAAAATTAAAGCGCACGTGATACAGAAGAGGCGTAGGATTAGGTTATAATGAACAGAGGAAATGTTGCTTTAATGCAGGAATGTCTCAGTGTTTATTTAGGATATTTGAAAATTTGCACTTTAAGGGTAGCGAAATAGTTGAAAAATCCTCCCCGGTGGTTTTCTTGTACTTCACATCAATAGAATAGAAACATACTAGCAAAGAGTCAGACTGTGGCAATGGAGAAATGGCTTAAAACTAGGATCAAATCAATGAAGACAATGCAAAAATTTGATGCAGTGACCACTTAACTCTGTGCTGGCATTAATTCATAGAGGGTTTTCCATCAAAATTTTGGTACTTCTGATGTCAGTACCTTCAGAAATATATTTATTTAGTATTTCAGTGGACACTGAAAGAATATTAATTTTGGGGGTGTTGGACAGTGAAAGAGTTAGATGGAGGAATTGGGTCAGTTTGTTTTTTCATTTTAACAACAATCCATATATGTGAATTTCTATAAATGAGGAATACCTGTACCAATTTTTTTCATATCTTTATGCTCCCTAAGAACAAGCAGTAGAAAATTTTTTTAGCACATTAGCTGAATTTTTATAAAGTTTATGGCACAAATGAGTTTGTAAGATGATAAAAAATTTAGCTGGATTATAACACTGCAAACACAACAATCACTCTAAGTGAAGGTATTGTTTAACAGTGGTTACTATACTATAAAAAGGAAGCCTAATACTGTCCTTAGATATGTACTTAACTTAAAGTACGAGTACTCTGGTAATGAGTACACTCTGAGCTAATGGCAATTGACCCAGCACCATTTATGCAGGCCTTTTTGTGCATGGTGAATTCGACAAATGTGAATACGGTTTCCATCCCCAATTTGAAAGTACTCCGTATGATAGCATGTTCGTACAGACTGCCATTTTACCTTTGCTGTTATGTATATTCTAAGAGCAAGTTAATATACCCTGAAATGGTCTCTCAAATTGCAACTTCAGTGAAGTGAAGAAAAAAAAACATTAAAAACTTAGTGACAAACTTGAACTAGAATGGGGTGTAAGTAGAAGAGTATTAATGATAAAATATAAAATTGAAATTTCAACATTATTTAAACAGTTAAACCAAAACTTTTCTAACCAGAAAAAATAAAAAATAATGGCACTGTAAACCCTAAACTGTCCAAAGTTAGTCTACATTCCATGTGCGGGGAGCTCCGATGTAGATCATTCGTTTTACTTTTAACGCTCTTCTCCAAATGGGAAAAATCAAGGCAGATTGCGCTAGTATGTGAACGTTAGATCTAAATTTGGACAGTTTAAGGTAATGTCTGGGTGCTGGTTATTTTAGACGTTTACTGTATAGCAACAATACCTGTGTGAGTGAGCTGGCTCAGTAAAACTCTCAGGAGTTGGTGTACAACAGTTAAGTGCCAAGGAGAGTCTTGCTGTCTGTTCTGATCTCCAAGCTGCACCTGCATTTTCATTAATACAAATATTACATAGAATTCAAGGATACATTTGTTAAATACAAAATTCAATGTACTATTTGCAATGACCATAAATAATAAATAACGTTTAGATGCCTGTAATGCCAAGACCATGTAGTGGCTCTCTTTGCATACAAATCATTGATACCTCACTGTAAATACTATGTATTTACTTCCTTACAATATGTCAAACCACATTGTAAAACGTGCCAAGAAAATAAAAAAAACTGAAATCTGAATCTAAATAATAACAATATTTTAATAAGTTTATTAACCACTTTGAGGGTTTCGGACGTACTAGTATGCTTACGACCCAGGGTTTTTTGACGTACTAGTACGCCTAAATTTCTAGCGCCCTCAAATCTAGTGGAGAAAAACGCTGGTAGGCCTCCATACTGATGAATGGGTCAATGTGGTCAGTAGTGCCGTATAAAAAAAATCCTGCAGGCAACAGTGCATAATGAGGAAAAAAGTATACTTTGTTTTTTGGAAATTAAAACAGGGGACTTTGCACTGTATTTTCGTATGAGTATTTATTGTTGTATTCTAGTTTTCTTGGTCTCATTTTATAGAATGCAGGCATATCATAGAAATTGGAGATGAATTTTTTGGGGGACTGGTTTTAAACTGAAAAAGTACTTGAAATGAGCTCAAGAGTAGCAGAATGTTCGATTTTTACCAAAGTTCAAAGTAAAAAATCATGACCAAGCTTCCAATACAGTCAATGGTGTGTCTAATATTACTTTTGCAAGTGCCACTATGATAATACATTTTTTACCACTAATGCAGTAGTTGCATAACGTAAATCTTTTATTTTTTGTGAAGAATAAAAATTCAAGGTGGATAGCAAAAAGTAGGTAAGAGGGGCCTTGAGACGTGACTAATGAACAGAGGGAAATGTTTTATAGTGCCTGAATGTATTTCTTGTTTGTTCTGGCCTAGCGGAAAATGGCATTCTTTTGAAATTTGTGTGAAATTGCCCCCAAATTGCTATTCTGACCATGAACTGGATGTTGAAATTGGTTTAAATGGGTGGTGTCTTGCATATTCAATAGAAAAAATAAGGAGTTTAGCGTAATATTCATGTTTTTGTGGGTCGAACTTTGTAACAGTGAACTGGCTGAAAATGGGCTCAAAGTGGTGCAAACTCGCGATCGTAAACATCGCGAGACCGCTAACTTCCGCAGAGAGTATAATTCCTTAAGTTTTCCATCAAATTCATATTTTTGGTTTCATTTTGAATCAGGAAAAGACTTCTCTATCTTTTTCATAAGATAAAATTTTTTTTTTTTTTAAATTGGCGAATACCTGACGACGAGTCTCGGGAGAGGCTGTGACCCTCAAAGGGTTTTAAAACATTTAAAGTAATGCAACCTCCCCCTTTGAGTATTCAACGTTGAGAACTAAACAGTGCTTTCTGCATGGCATTCTGTAGTTCAGCACAAAACCAACGTTGTCATATACAGGAAGACGGATGATTAAGATGTGTTCTTTCAGGATGATTTTACGATCTAACGTTTAATTTCGGACAATTTTTTCAATCACAAATGTTGATGTTTTATGATGATGGTTTAATTAGTTTTTTACCCGGTTGGCATCTCCACCAAAAAAAAAAAAAAAAAAGAAACACTTTATACATTCGCACATAATCACTGTCTTTGCAGAGGACCCAGGATAACAGTTTAGATGTATTCAAACAGCCAATATCCCAACACCTCTTTAAAGAGCAGGCATTGTATTTCCACCTCCAGGACTCTTGTTAGTTAATGGGTTTTTCTTAAATCCTCCACAAAATATTATCCAGCTCAAGCAAGCCGGCTCCCACGCTTGTTTCAAGTCCCAAAAACCATTCGTTCCACTCACTCTTTTTCTAATGGGTCACACATGAGCATGTATGATAGGAGTGGAGACGAATGGTTTTTTATGATTTGTTTAATGTTGGAGTGTAAGCCAGTAATATTGTACGAAAGGATGCAGTGGAAAAACTGGTCATAGGACTTCAGTCTGGAGTGGGCAAGTAAAGAATGCATGCACTCCTGAAGGAGGGAGTTGTTGATACAGAGGGGTTGTGATTAGTGATATAATGATTGATGATGAAATGTTTTTTCTTTTTCTGGGTCCCTCTGCCTTGGGGGAAACGGACCGATGTGTTAATAAACAAAATAAAATAAATCTGCATTTCTAATTTCCAATACTTGAATTCTAAGGCAAATTATAAGCCACCACATTGCCTCATGAACATTCCCTGATCTAGCCGCATCCTCTCGGCTTTGCAAACATTCACAATCCATACTTAACACCCAAAATAAGAGCTTTGGTGCACTATACTCTCTTACACTCTTTGTTCCATGGATAACATTGTACTATAAGATACACAATGACCACCACCTTTTTCTATTATCATTCTATGGTTTACTACAATTTTTTTTATCTTTGTTTTTAATGCACTAGGACAGCTTGAGAGTCACTGTGGACACCTATAGTGCTCCCAAAATCAGTCTAGAGAGCTCTGGCTTTGGAATTTCCCTAAATGGGAACAAATTTGTCATTGTAAAAGTCACCAGCACGGTTTGGAACAGCTGTGTCAGGGCTTATATTCATCCATTAAAAGGCTTGCCACCTTTGTCCTCATTGTACAAATGTCATTAATCATTGAAGAAGGCAATTCTCCATCTCCTCTTTCCTCTCATCTGAAGCAATTTCTAAGCTATCTGGTCTGCTTGCTGTTGAGATTAAGCTTATTGTAGCTCATCGTGGTTAGTCGTATTCTCGTCTCCACCAACTCACTTCACTTCCTGCCATAACTCCAATCCATGGACTTCCCTCAAATGACACATAGATTCTGCAAATGGTATAGGCTCTCAGGGTTTGACCCAAACCCTTCAAAATCCCTTTTCTTGTATTTATTACTGTGGCCACAATTTCCTCCACATGTTCTTCTTCTTCAATTCAGTAGTATTTCCTCACCTTTTACCACAGGGTTAGCTCTAGAAGCTTCTTTGGGTCCATGGTGGCTTATTTTAGCAGTTACAAGCACTAAAAAAAACATGAATAATCAAAATGTATTGCACGTACTAGTTAAACCAAAAAATGGAAATCATCACAACCGGCTTGTAAACAATGGCACAATGGCTACCAAGGCGGCTCAGGCTGTGCAGGAAACATTCTGGGATGGAATGTTTCCTTCATCTGAGTTTTGTCTCGTTTAGCGAGCCAATATTTTGACGCACAAAAACATATCAGGTATCGATTTTTCATAACGCTGATTGTTTAATGAGGGTCCATGTCTGAGAAACTCATTTTTTGGTAAAGATTGATCAATACCCATCAATTTCATACTTGCATTTTCGTTTAGTATCGGAATATTGAACATTATGTTTTTCTAGTTGTTTTTAAGCCACTTCCACTGTCCATCAAATAAATCTACGTTGTTCACCCTCCTCATATAAGATCTTCTTCCCTATATAAGCTTACTTATTCTTTCAACAAAATGGCCGTAATCCACTCGGAAAGCAGGAGCACAAAAAAAAAAAAAATTGAAAAAAATTTCTTTAACTTTTACTAAAGTATACAGGAAAAGGGGTTATCGTCCTTGTCCTGACTTTTTAGTCTCTCTTACGACATGCATGGCTTATTGGAGGAGAATTCTGTTCCACTTCCGCCATGGACATAAGAGGCAAAAAAACAAGAACAAGAACTAGTAAGAAAATAGAAGAAAACCAGGGAATGTGTATTTTATATGCTTGTACATGTATGTAGGTAGTAGGTTGGTAGAAGCAACCCCCGGGAGTATACCGTCCTGCCAAGTGAGTGTAAACGAGCCTGTGAATTGTTTACATGCTGGTAGGATGCTGATGTCTTTTGTCTGTCTCATAAATATGCAAGATTACAGGCATGTTTGATATTCTACTTACACTTATGGTCACACTAACACTCATGTACACATTTATTTATACACACTCATCTGGTGTTTTCTTTGATTTTATTTAATAGTTCTGGTCTTTTAATTTTCCTTTTAATCCATCGGGGAAGTGGAAATAGAATTTTCTTTCGTAAGCATGTGTTGTAAAAGGTCAACTAAAAATGCCGGGAAAAGAGGCCTAGATAACTTTACCTGTAAGATTACTAAAAAGAATAAGATGAAGAAAATTGTCAAAGTGGGAAGTCTAGAATGTGGTGGATGTTGTGCAGATGATAAGAAAGAGATGGATTGTGGATGTTATGAATGAGAAGAAGCAGGATGTTCTGCTTAAGTGAAACAAAGCGAAGGGGGTGGGAGAGTTTCAGTGGGAGAGGAATTAATGGGATTAGGTCAGGGGTTTCAAATAGAGTATAGAGCTAAGAGGAGTAGAATAATGTTGACGGATAAGCTATGGGCAGGAAAAGAGGGATATAAATGTATTAAGTCAAGGGATATGTGGAAGTAAAATCAAGATTGGATGTGAAAGTGGATATCATAAGCGTTGTATGCACTGGAGAAGAGAGAAGTGTGAGGAGGAGAGAGAGACTTTTTGGGATATGTTGGTGAATAGCATGCGGGAGTTTTGACATGTCAAGTGTGGAGTAATGGTGGTGGGGATTTCAATGCTAAAGTGGGTAAAATGTTATGGAAGGAGTAGTAGGAAAAAATTTGGGGTGGCCAGGGGTAAATGTAAATGGGAGAGCCTTTAATTGAGCTTGTGTAGAAAGGAAATTTGGTAATTAATAATTAATACTATTTTATGAAAAAGAGGATAAATAAAATATTCAAGGTATGATATGTTTAGCACGTAATGAATGTAGTTTATTAGAGTATGTATTGGTGGATATAAATAGGTTGTGGGTAGGCTCCAGGATGTACTGTTTATAGAGGCAACCCTAAATCAAGGCAACTGATATATCGAATCATTAATTTAGTTAGTAGATACAGTTAGAGTAAGAGTTAGCTGGGAAAAGAGGGAGGTTTTGCAACAACGGAGTAAGAGGGAGGTGAAGTAGTATAAACTAAGGGCCGTGGAAGTTAGGGTGAGATATAAGCGATTATTGGCAGAAAGGTGGGCAAGTGCAAAAGATGAGTAGTGGGGGGGTTGAAGAGATTGGAATAGGTTTAAAAATGCAGTATTAGAATGTGGGAAGAAGTTTGTGAGTTATTAGGAGGGTGGGTGGCAGGAGGAAAGAGGGAGTGATGGTGGATGATGAAGTAAAGGGTGGATAAAAGGAGAAAGGTAGATTATGAGAGGTTTTACAAAGCAGAAGTGTTATAAGAAGAGCTCAGAGTATCTGGAGAGTTAAAGAAAGGTAAAGAGAGGGTGAGAGAGTGGCAAAGGAGAGCAGATGATTGAGTGGTGAGAGGCACTATCAGAAATTTTAATGAAAATTCAAGAAACAAATTTTGGAGCGAGTGAGAGTTAAACAAGTTAAGAAGCCTAGGGAAATAATGGATTTGTCAGTTAGAAACAGAGTAGGCGGAGTTAGTAGATGGGGAGATGGAGGTATGGGTATATGGCGAGAATATTTTTAGGATTTTAAAGTTAAGGACGAAACCAGAGGCGTAATTTCATGCACTGGTCAGGGAGGATTATTCATTTTTGCAGTGAAGAAGCGCAGAATGTAATCGTGTGGGGAGGTACGTGAGGCAATAGTAAAAGAAAGGGGGTTGGTTAAAGCAGTGGAATGATGGGGATATGGACAGAAATGTTTAAAGCAGGGGGGGATATAGTGTTGGAGTGGTTGGTACTTTGTTAATAAATGTATGAAAGAGGGGAAGGAACATAGGGATTTTTATTGTGAGTGATAATTTAGTACCAAAAAAATAATAGAGTTTCTTTGAATTTTAGACCAAAGAACTTTACTCTTATTTATGCAAAAAATAATTTACTAGTAAATATTTTAAAAGAACAGTATGTGTTTTTTGTACTAAAGGATTATATTCTTATTACAGTTCTAGCAGTTCTGGTAATGGGCTAATTGTTAAATGATATCTTAATTCTCTACAGCCGAGTACTGGTTATGATTCCCATAAAATAGACTACGAGCTTGATTACCAGAATTGTAATACTGTATTACTCTGTCTCTATCTCCGTCTCACAGGTGCACATAAATAATTTTTTTTTTTCAACAAGTCGGCCATCTCCCACCGAGGCAGGGTGACCCAAAAAAGAAAGAAAATCCCCAAAAAGAAAATACTTTTATCATCATTCAACACACTCTCACATTATCACTGTTTTTGCAGAGGTGCCCAGAATACAACAGTTTAGAAGCATATACGTATAAAGATACACAACATATCCCTCCAAACTGCCAATATCCCAAACCCCTCCTTTAACCCTTTCAGGGTCCGTCCCGTAGATCTACGGCTTTACGTTCAGGGTCCAAACCGTAGATCTACGCCATGAGCTCAGCTCACTCTGATAAACTGTGAGTGGTACATTTGGGCCTAGATATGAGAGAATACATCTATGTGGTATGTGTGCACCACATAAAACAGATCCTGCAGCACACTGTGTATAATGAGAAAAAAAAAAATAAAATCATGATTTTTCGATTAAACAGCAACTTTGCAGTGTTTTTTTTTTCGTATGTTTTTTATAGTTGTATTTGCGATTTTTTGGGTCTCATTTGATAGATGGAAGACATATTACAGAAATAGAGGAATGAAATTTTTATTGGTTTTAGCACTGGAAATGGCTTGAAACTGAGCTCAAAGTAGCAGAAATGTTAAATTTTTGCCGATATTTTAAGAGTAAACAAACGACCTCACACGTCTAATACACGTCAGCTGGTGGGTCTAATATACATTTACAATTAGGTGATGAATTTATACAATTATTACAGTATTGCATAACAGTAAATCTTCTATTTTTGGTGTGAAAAAAAATTCCCTTATGTGAATAAAAAATCAAAATGGAATTTATTTGTAAAGCCTCAAAACATAACTAATGAACAGAGGAAATTTAGTTTAGTGCCAGGAATGCCTACATTGTTCATTCTGAACCCTATTTTGAAAATTGGAATATTTTGAAAATTGGTTTAAATTGGCCAAATTAACAATTTCCGATCACTTTATTTTGTAGTTGAAACAGTTGACTTGGCGATTTCTTGTGCTCATTCGATAGATAGAAGTAATACTAGTGAAATAGCTAAATTTGGTTGATTGGGAATAATTTAATTGGCTTAAAAAAGGGAGTCAAAATCGGCAAAATCGCCGATTCGTAAATATCGCTGACACATCAAAATTCGCGAGAGCATAATTTCGTCAATTTTCCACCAAATTTCGTACTTTTTGTTTTATTACCTTCACAAAAAGATTCTCTACGATTTCATAAGAAAAAATAACAAATTTTTTTTTTGAAAATTCTTGGACACTGGTGCATGACTCCAGATTTGGGCCTTGGACCCTGAAAGGGTTAAAGTGCAGGCATTGTACTTCCCATTTCCAGGACTCAAGTCCAACTATATGAAAATAACCGGTTTCCCTGAATCCCTTCACTAAATATTACCATGCTCACACTCCTCCAGATCGTCAGGTCCCAAGTACCATTAGTCTCCATTCACTCCTATCTAACACGCTCACGCACGCTTGCTGGAAGTCCAAGCCCCTCGCCCACAAAACCTCCTTTGCCCCCTCTCTCCAACCCTTTCGAGGACGACCCCTACCTCGCCTTCCTTCCCCTATAGATTTATATGCTTTCCATGTCATTCTACTTTGATCCATTCTCTTTAAATGACCAAACCACCTCAACAACCCCTCTTCTGCCCTCTGACTAATACTTTTATTAACTCCACACCTTTTCCTAATTTCCACACTCCGAATTTTCTGCATAATATTTACATCACACATTGTAAATTACCTAGGATAACCCAAAAAATCCAGACAAAATGCTATACAGTGCTTGTAGATATAAAGCATAATAAGCATGACTGGCAAGTAATATGCATTTTCACTTGCTCACGAATCAGACATGACGATTCTGCATTGTGTTTAATACTTGCTCGTGAGCGGCTCTCTCAGACAGAGAGACAAGCCGACAGGAAGACACACACACACACACACACAGAATGACAGATAAGCAGAGAAAGAGATAAAGAGACAGAGGTAGACAGATAGACAAATAGACAGACATGTTTATATGTAACAACGAAAACAAATAAAGCCAAGGCAGTGCATGATCATCAAGTGTCACTTCACTGCTGCACTGTCAGCAGTGGAGTGACACTTGTCTTATTCTGTGCTTCAAGGAGTTTCATATATACTGCAGCATGTCTAAAACATTGCTCGGACTTATAAATACTTTGTATATATTTGTAGACAATGTTCACCTGTCAGTGTGTTTGTGACTATCTGAGTACTATTTCAGTACCTAATATTAGTGTCAGAACAAACATTGGCTATGAAATCACAATAACTACTACAAATTGTAATTATCAGAACATAAAAATTATATAAATAAAAAAAAAAAAAAAAAAAAGAGGAAAAAAAGGCATATCGGCAACACTTCTGCAAGCAGCAGGACTCCATGTTGCCGTCAGGTGAGCATCCAGCACCAACTTCTTATTACACACAGAAAAATGCCCTCTTTAATTTAAAGAAAAAAAAAAACTTTTTTTTTTTCAAAATATTCGAAGCGCTGGGCAAGTTAACGAGTTAATGATTGAAAAAAAAATTCCCACAAGTTATTCAATACATGGTATAGAATAACTTATGGGAATTTTCTGGTCTACTGGCCTTTTTACACATAGAAAATTACCCTCTTTAATTTATAAAAAAAAAAAATTCAAAATATTTGAAGCACTGGGCGAGAGAACATAGATCTATGTTTGGACAGTTAATAGGTTAATGATTGAAAAAAAAATTCCCACAAGTTATTCAATACTTATGGTGCATTAAATTTCTCTGTGTGCATCGACTTTCAGAAGTATAACCTATGTAATGAGGGATTACTGTACTATTCTGAAACCCAATAAGAAGGGTCTAAGCCTTAAAATAACACAATTTTTGAAAATAAATTAACTGAAGTTGCAATACAATTAGTAATTTGGCATTACCTTGGTTAGATGAGGAGCTTTAGCTCGCCCAGTGACACAGGCCAAATATTCCACAAGAGATGTCTTTCCACTTCCAACAGCTCCCACAATCAACACAGGATGACCTTGACATACTGACATTGCAACAGCTTCAAGGTTACGTTCAGTGGATGGAAGTAACACCAAGGAACCTTCCTTCTGTTGAAAGAGAAAATATGACAAACCAGTCCATAAAAAAATTAAGGAAAAATTTAAATTCAATATTCACATCAAACAAATTAACTGTTAAACTGTGTCCATGTACTAGCTTGCACAATTTTTTGTGCCTTCAAATATGCCACTTGCCAATACTTTTGACATCAGTTCGACTGTTTAGGTCTCCTACATCCTCCTCAAGCCTTTGAAAAAATACAGGACCAGGTAGGTTCACACAGTGCATCATGGTGTAACACTGCCTAACTAGCATAAACAAACAATAAAGCCAGGCCCTGATGTTCCAACACCAGCTTCCATACCAGCAAACAGGGTGTGGAACTGCCAGGAAGATGCCCTATTCATTCCAAATTCATTGCAATTTCATGATATTAACAGTGGAATTTAGTTAATAAAGCACAATATGTATATTTAACTTAGGATAACCCAATATAGTCAATGTGAATCACTTCTACATTTCAATGCACATTACAGTGAAACAACTGTAATATCGTAAGCTTTCCTTGTAAATATGTTTTACAGTTCAACAGTTGAACACAAAGGCTGTCTTCAAGAAAGCACTGGACAGGCACCTAAAGTCAGTATCTGACCAGCCGGGCTGTGGTTCATACGTCAGGACCAGGCCGCGAGGGTGCTGACCCCTGAAACCCTATCCAGATATACTTCAGGTAAAGAAATTACATTATGTAAAATTGACCTATAATATTCCCTTGAACCTTTTTTTTTTTAACACACTAGCTGTCTCCTAATAAGGTAAGGTAACCTGAAAAAGAAACTTCCAGTTCCATCGGCTTAAAATAGGAAGCCTTCCATTCTATCAAATGAGCAAAAGAAACTGCTCATTCAACTATCAGAACTACTCTATAAAGTTGTTAATTTGGCTCCATTTAAACAAAATTCAATGAATTCCAATTTAAAAACAGACTAAAATAAACACTGCAGGCAATCCAAGCACTAAAGCAATCTTTCCTCTGTTCATTAAACACATAATGAAGCCTCTCATATATAACACCTGCCCCAGTTTTTAATCCATAACACAAAAAGTTAAAGTTTTACCCTGTTTCTCAAATTAATAAAATATAACCAAGAATGACTAGTTATGGTTTAGGCTGCCCCTAGTAAAAACCCACACAACAGACCAGGGGCAAAGGCAAAAATCAAATTTTTCTGCCACTGAGGATCCTATTCAATCCACTTCCAGTCTGAAACTGACCAAAATCATTTCTATATCTATCAACTGATATCAAGAAACTGCCAATAAAACCATAAAAACCACCCTAGAAAACACCTCAAGGTCACTATTTAAACTAAAGACAAGGTCAGAGGTTTCCTTTTCTCATCTTGCACTGCATGGGGACAGGATTTTTTTTTTATAATGTGCACATTCACCACACAGACCTATTCTTTAGCCAAAATTTACCAGTCACAGCCTATTTGAAGTTGCTGTACTTACAACGCAGATCTACACGAGTAACACTGGGGTCAGTGACGTAATCTAGAAGGGAGACAGTGAAAGGGTTAATAAACAATTAGTTCAAAAATACAAAATGCTTCATAAATATAATACAGAAAAGAAGATTAAAGGAGACGATGAACCCCAGTAGTGGGCCTAGTATTCAGCATTAACAGTTTCTTACCAGACATTTTCTGTCAAAGATGGGAAGTGACACTCCACTAACACTGACAGTGTGACGCAACTCTGCGCAGCTCTTAATCGATTCATCTTCAGACCAAATAGTTGGCAATATATGGCATGTTGTCTGTCCATTTTTTACTGATAATCTTGTGTGTGTTTCCAGTGAAACATGTTTTATTATCAATGCTTCTCTCTGAGCTTCACTCATTCTAGATAAAACTGCAATACAATTACAAGTCAACCTGTGGAAAAAATGAGAATAGCAAAGGTGAGATAATAATGTAAAAAATAACATTTTATACACTTCACACATGAAGGCTAAGCTGCATCCAACTTATGCATTTTAAAATGTTATGACTGAATTAAGGAGTTTCTCTTCAAGATCACTTTAAAATGCACCAAGATACATTCAGAACAACTTTTGCTGTTTAACTATTGAATAATGCAATATATTCATATTCTGGTTAGCCGGACTTGAGTCCTGGAAATGGGAAGTACAATGCCTGCACTTTAAAGGAGGGGTTTGGGATATTGGAAGTTTAGAGGGACTTCTAAACTTCGTATATGAGCACCTCTGCAAAGACAGTGATTATGTATGAGTGAGGTGAAAAGTGTTGATTGATGATGAAAACATTTTCTTTTGGGGATTTTCTTTCTTTTTGGGTCACCCTGCCTTGGTGGGAGATGACCGACGTGTTGAAAAGAAAAAAAAAAAGAAAAGTTTAAAATAAATTTTTTTTTCAACACTCCAGCTGTCTCCACTGGGCGGGGAAACCCCAAAAAACAGAAAAAAACACTGTCCCCTTTTCTTCACACAATCGTTTTTGCAGAAGGCAAAGATACAGCAGTTCAGGTCACCCCAAACAAAAATCCCCCAAAACCCCTCCTTTAAAGTGTAGGTATTGCACTTCCCCCCATCAGGACTTAAGTCCGTAAACCCGTTTCCCGAACCCTTCACAAAATTTACCCTGTCCACACTCCAATAGCTCACAAGTCCCAGGAAAACATGTCTCCATTTACCCTATCTATATATTTTTTATTTGATTTATTTTTCCCTGCCTCGGTGGGAGAGGTGACTTTTTAAAAAAAAAAAAAAACCCCCTATCTATATATTGTATGTTTGCAATTATTTTTAATTTGATTTGTGCCCAAAAATTTTCTACTTTTTAGTAACAAAAAAATAAATCATCCACCAAGAGTTTCCCCCAACTCTAATGAGTATTAACAAACTAATAGAGGTTGCTGCCTTCCAGCTAACTACCCACTCTCATAATTTCAAATTTTTTTTGCCATCAGTGAACTTTTTTTACTTCCCCACAAATGTAAGATACAGTCTAATTCAATTTAATTACACATCATTGTAATTACAGGTTTATAATTTAATTCATAACACTAAAAATAGTTCTGATGGATTTTTGGCAAACCACCCAGGGGTCCTTGAAGGGGGTGTAAAAGAAAGAGAATGAATTCCAAATAGGATCAAATTTTCCTCAAATGCAAAAAAGCATGTCTTGAATAATTCCCTTTGTTACTAACATCTTTTTTTTCTTCCCCTTTTTGAGGGTCAAATTCTTCTTTTTTTTTCTTTTAAATGGGCTGGAGTTTTTTTGAAAAAACCCGGGGAAAATCTTTAAAAAAACAAAAAAACCAAATTTAATTTTAAATTTCTAAAAAATTTAAGAAATATTTTTTTTTTAAATTTTGGAAAAATTAAAAATTCGGGATGGCATGATTTGAAAAATAAATTTTTTTTTTTAAAATTTAAAAATGAGTTTTCTAATGAAAAAAGACTAAAAGAGGAAAACTGGAAAAATTTAAAATTTTGTAGGGAAAAGAAATTAGCAAAAAATTTTTCACTCCCCGGGAAACCCACCCGGTTAAATGAACAGCAATAATTTTTTCCCCCAATTTTAAATTAAAATCCAGTGGTCCCTCAAAAATATCCAAAAACCCGTTTCTGGAAGGGGGGACTTTTTATCAAAAATAGACTTTTTTCGAATAAAATTTTTCCCCAAAAGAAATTTAAGGGAAAAATTAAAATTTTAATCCGAAACCTAACACCCAGAAGTATTAAAAAAAAAATTTTTTTACATGAAAAATAGAGTGTTCCCTAAAAAAAAACAATTTGGGACATGATGAATGAAACCCAAAAAAGAATAACACTTCCTTTATTGGGATTCTTCCCTTTGGGTATGGAAAAACGGAGGGGGAGAGAGATTGGATTTAAATTTCTGGGTTTTGGAAAAGGGGGAAACCCCCCTTCCCTCAAACCTAGGGGACCAATTTCTTTTTTGGGGTTTCTTCTCTTCTCGTTTCTTAATGCCAAATAGGGCCAGCTTGGGGGTCATGGAGTTTCCCGTCTTGCAAAAAAAAAAAACTTTTCCAGAGAGTCTGTTTTGGCATCCCCTTTAAAAATTTTTTAAAATGGGGCCAAAACTCTGTCCCCTGTGTTGTCCCAATTGAACACTTGTTCAGGTTTCCCGTCCTTCAGCCTCTATGTACTCCTTGGAAATTCCCCGCCCCTATTTTTCAGCCGCTTTTTTATCCAAAAAGGCAGCCTCACCAAAGCCTTATCCAAAATTTTGGGAGCCAGTTCGCTTCTTAAAAAACTCTCAAACCAGGGCCTTTGCTGGGTTTAAAATTTATCACATTCCCCCTAGTTGCAGGGGGAATTTCTTTACCCAAAATTTTCATGCAAAAAGGCCCACCTTTTTTACAGATAAGCAAAGTCTAAGACTATCTCCTTTCTAAAATTTTTTCTCGTTTATCCACACCAATAATAACTTCTCAAAATCTTCGAGTACTGGTGATTTCATTTTTGTCAGCATATTTACCCCCTTTGCAACAACAGCGTCCTTGATTTCCTTTTTCTTGGCTATGATGGAAGATATGGTTGTACTGGATTTGTTATACATCCTGGCCAGTTTGCCCACACGTATGCACTTTCATATTGTTCAATGATGTTTCTCTTAAATTCAATCATATTTCTCACCTTCTTTACCAAAGGCTTGGCACTAGCTTTCTTTTGGAGCCATGGTAGCTTATTTAGCACTTGCAAGCACTAAAATCAATGGAATATTATGAAATATTTCGGAGGAGGAAGTGAGGGGACCGTCGCTCACTGGTAAACAATGGCACACTAGCTGGGAAGAAGGCAGGCCCAGGCTGCTCAGAGCGTGAGTATGCGTCCTGGATGAAGGACGATTTAGCGAGTTTAACAGGCCATTTGCAAGCCAATGTTTAGACGAAATAACGGGACTATTTCCGAAATGGACGACTTTCAGGCTGGACGATTAATTGAGGACCACTGTATCTTTATTTCTACAAGTATATGTACAAGGTATACAGGCCTAGCTAACATCAGTGACATACACTATATAGAAAGCCGCTTGTTATGCTGAGCATTTCAGGCAAATTAGGTCAGTTTTGTCCTAGGATGTGACCCACACCAATCAACTAACACCCAGGTACCCATTTTATACTGATGGGTGAACATGGACAACAGGTGTTTTAAGGAAACATATCCTAATGTCATCTAGCCGTACCAGGGATTCGACTTCCGGACCTCAGTGTGTGAGCTGAGTGTGCTAGCGATCAAGCTTTGGGATAAATGCAATAAATGGCAATAAATTATGTCAGTTTTCAGTTTTTATTGGTTTTAATGTTTAGCACTATGTACAATATTTTTTATATTGTGCATAGCACAATATAGCTCCATATAGCCTGGTTGATCAGGTCCTGATCCACCATGAGGCCTGGTCACAGACTAGGCCGTGGGGTGTTGACCCCCGAAACCCTCTCCGGGTATCTCCAGGTATTGAAAACACTATAAATTAAAGCAAATAATTTTTTTTCAACTTTTTTTTTTACTTCCCCTTTGGTCTTAAACCCTCAGTACAAAGAATACCTTGATATTACAATTGTTTCAAAGTGCAATTCCCCAAAAAACCATAAAAAATAATTTGGGGCCGGGTTTTTCGACTTATTGTGTTATAAGTCTCTTTTTAAAACCCTTTTTTCCGCGTTAAATTCAATCAAATTTTTACCCATTTCACTGCATCCCTTTCCCATTTCCCATCGACCAAGCACAAAAAAAACCCCTTTAACAATACAACTATTCTATAAATGCAAAATTTTTGGAAATCTACCGATTTTATCAATTTTAAAAATTAAAAATTTTAAAAACCCCGCCCAAAAAAACATTGTGGGACTTCCGGGCACACTTCCTCGGTTCATTTATAAAAAATTCCCCGGGTTTTTCTCTTACATTATACTTGTTTTCCATTTGTTTCTTCACAAAAAAAAATTCCCAAAAAATTTACCCAAATTTTTTAGAAACAAAAAAAAAACCGGGGGAATGATTGCTCATGGTTCACGGAAATTCCCAAGAATTAAATCAGACGAATAAAAGCCCAAAACCAGGCGGGGGGGCTATAGGGAACTTCCCCCTTTTCCCAAAAGGAAAAATAAAGAAAAGGATCAAATTTTTTTTATTTTGGGGAGTCAATTTTAAAGCATTTTCCAGTCCCAGAAGCAAACAAAAAAATTTCTTTTTCCCAGTGGGTATCCCTTAAATTTTAAAAAAAGATACCAAAAAAATTGGCCAATAAATCCAGAGAAGCCCCCAAAAAAAAACACCTCCAAGGCGGGTTGGCTTTTTAAAACCCAAACAAGGACATTTTTTTTGCTTTTCCCATAAGCACATGGGACGGGTTTAAATTTTTAAAAATTGTGCACATTACCACACACACCCCTTTCCTATTTCTGGGAAAAAAAATTTTCCCACTCTCAAATTACTGAGTGGGCTGAGTTTAAAGACAGATTTACTTGGGGGACTTGGCTTTAAATAACATAGATTTTTATGAAATGGACGTGAAAAGTTTTAAAACAGTGCAAAAATTTAAATACATCCCTTGGGAAAGTGCCCATTGCACTTTTTTATTTTCACTTTTGTACCCTTGAAATAAAGAAACCCCAACTTTCTGTTTTTGAGATCCCCAAAGTATCCACTTTTAAGGTAGACCATCAATATCATTTTAGTGGGTTCAAAAAATAAACTTCCTTTTTGCAGAAACCCAAAGGGCATTTTTAATACCAAAAAAGGACCATTTTTAAAGTCCCTTTTTTGCTGTGTACGTTAAAAATGTTGAAATTTCAATTTGATATACCTTTGCCAAATGGAATCCATTAATTCTAAATTAGAAAACTACCCACGCTTTAAATCCTTGTTACCCCCAAATCT